TTTTTTTTTTTTTTTTTTTTTACCTCAAGTGCTTGTTAAAGCCTGTTAAAGTATCAGATAGTGAGAACTGGTTGGAATCAGCTCCTGATTCAGTTTCGTGTGCTCAAGAATCTGAAATTGCTCTTGCCAGTCTAGTTCAGGCAGCACTCCATCGTTGTCTTTTCTGACCTTGCCACTACTGATAAGGGCTAGTTTTTGTGCAGGCCTGTCAAATTCTTCCACACCAAACTCGAAAAACCATATCTGTATAGAGCTCACTTTGTACACGGGAGTATCAACATACTGGAAAATTATAGGACCCTCCACTTCCATGGCAGTGGCCATACAATGGGAAGCACACAATTCTCTAGTCTAGAATGTCATTGTATGTCAGTTCAGTGGGCTTTTATTTTTATTTTTTGTTTTTTAGACAGCTCATTCACTTGTTTTATGATGCTTTTTTATTTATTTATATTTAATAATAGAGTCGTAGTTCTGATTAATTTTGAAAGGAAGAATGTTAAAAACTGCAGAAAACTATGTAGGATGAAAGTTTCTAAATATTGACAGATTAGATTTAAGCTTGAGTAATGAAGCTTGAAAGTGTATGAACTGTAATTGCACCTGTTAGTTTCTTTTGAAGGTCACTCATTGCTTCAGGATTCTCAAAGTTAGCTCTCATTTGCACCAGGACATCCATGTTGTCACTTACAAGTTTCTGAAAACAACAACATCAGCTAATTCAATAATGTATACTTTATCACATATACTGTTAATTAGCTATTTCATTGGCCTTGTTTGTACATTATGCCACAAGAATTTCTTCTTTTTGAAAAATGTCATACCTTCAGTTCTCCAACTTGGGATATGATGTGCCACATGAGGTTCTCATTTAAAAACTTCAGTCCATAAGGGCCAATCAGTTCAGCCAATGATCGCAAACCTACAGAGAAATATGTCCGCATAAAATCAGTCTTTTGCCATGTATCCATTTAATAGAATAATATAATTTTAAGTACAATACAAAAATGGAAAGCATGGGCATGTATACAGAATGCTTTAGATATATTTTCACACATATTATTATTATTGTTGTTCCTATAAAAGAAACACATTATATTACTTTGGGAAGCAAATGCTTTAGAATACATGTATAAAAATGTAAGTGGTATACAGATCCAGTAGCCTATTGAAATTGTGAAACAAAATATTTAGCTTAAAACCTTTAGCTATTTAGCTGAAATATTATCTTAATTTTCAGCTTACCACAGATGTCAGCGTATTCCTCAGCATGAAAGCTCTGCTCATTCTCAGTATTCTGGTTTACAAAACACTGTGTGGTAGGACAGTGGACTATGAGAGCACTGCTGGCCTGACGCAAGAGACCCTCCAGAAACCTGACAACAGGAGATAAGAAACACATTAACTACTTTTAAATTGGAGACCAGAAATGTGATATTTATATTCAGTGACTCATGAAGGCAGTCAGATGTTTCATTCCTGAATATATCAGTGTTTCAGTGATTCAGGACTGTCTTTAATGTGTTATTGATATGCAACCAGTCTGACAGAGGAATTACAGGCAGCTGTACAGCTGAACACACTGTATGTGCCATGAGCATTCTCACTGACCTGAAAAACCTTTGACTGCTAATATTTAATCTGTTATTACTTTTTCTTTCTACCGAACCAGCGATACAAATCATTTGTGAATTAATTATTCTTTTGGACCACTCTCTCTGATTCATCTGAAGCGTTTTTTCAGTCAGTAAAACAGACAGTATCAAGA